TCCATCTTTGGTACAGCAAAATCGGCCGGGATGGAGGAAGTGACTCTACCGTCCTCCCCATCACCTGCTTGATTACAAAGCCGCATAGACCCGTCTCAGTCCCCACGTATGTCTCGTTTCTACGTAACCTACACCTGCTATACCAATCCGTAGTATAGTAGTACCGCAACGGAGTACGACGTCTTTTATCCTTAGCATAGAGTACCAGCAAAATCAGCTTATTATGGAAGGGCGGGCCCTACTCTCCGCTACTACCTGCCTTATTAACAGGCCACAAACCCCTGTCCATCCCCACTTATTTATCCCCTTTACGTAGCCCCCCATAAGGACTACAGAATATGCTATACAATACATTAGGCACCTATAGTTATTAGTTCCTGGCTTCAAACACATCCACAAGCATCCGTCTCCTTTCCAACTCCTCAAATGCAAACTAACCAAACCCCGAACCCGGACTTCACAGGCAGCATCGGCGAGGGATCCGGGGTCGCCCAGCCGGAAGAACACCCGCGAGCACAGGTAGTACTAACTACGAGGCATGGTGGATGGTAAACAGAGTTCGGTGCTTCCTTGGACGGCGAGGATGGCCTGGGCCAGATGAGAAGCTGCATCAGCCACCGCAGCCGGTGTCAGGGAATCCTGTTCATGCACACGCACCAAAGCAGAAAGATTTTGGACTTCGCAAGACATGCTTCCGACATGCAGGCCTAGGCCTCGCCCCTTCCACCACACCCCCCCCACCGCGCCAGCTTAACACAGGCTAACTGCCAGCAGTGGCCTGCGGGGAGCGAAAGCAAAGATTCCAGCTTTTGTTGCCTGCTGCGAGATTTGTTGTTTGGCTGGTGCATCACAGCTATGATGATCAAACCCTTTGTCTCTACCATTATTCTTCACTGTAAAACCAATTTAATCCGCGTTTACAGCCGTCGCTTACACTAATCTTCGAAATCATGTCGCAGCTGAAACGCACCAGTCCCGTGACAGTGGTCAGACCCCCCAACATACAAAAATCATGAAACAGGTGGGCCAACGAAAACCCTACCCTCCCTCCCCCCCACCCCTCCCTCCCGTAAGGGAGGTGATCCTGCCGCCCTCCGGTGCAGTGAATGTCGATGGAGGCCCTCCTGTTTCCAGCGACGTCCTGGCCCCGCCTGTAGCCTGGCCATGGCTTTGGGCTACCATCACAAGGACCGCGTGAACAGCAAAAAACGAATAAAGCGGTATAATTTCTGATTGTGTATGTTCACGTAGAGATGCATAGGTGTGTGCTGGAAAATGCTGGGGCATGTGCATGTATATGTGTGTGTGTGCGTTTTTTGGTGTGTCCGTGTGCACCCCTTGTCTGCAAGATCGTCAAGCTAGGTCAGTCGCGATCTCCCGCCAGCAGACGCAGATCGAAGAATTCCAAAAATGGTGGGCATCTGGACAAGGGGATGCTGCAGTGGCATCGCATCCGCTGCTATCTTTGGCAGTATCCCGAGAAGCTGGCACAGTACTTTGCACAGAACCGGTGACCCAGAATGTGGCTGTTTCCAAATGTGGCTGAGGTCGACGGCCCGATTTTGGCAGAGCTTGGACAGCACGTTGTGATCGGATGTGCTTTTGTCACATGATCGCTTCAGGATCCGGGAAGATGCTACTGTTAAAAGAAATGCTACTGTAGAACATGGTGAGACAGTACATGACAGTACGGCAATTCGTGCAAAGACCGATCTGGCACCAATTTGGTATTTCACACTTTCCGCAGCATGAGTATCTTGGGATTCAGCAAGCATGGACGAATCGTGGCAATGAACGGTGTGTCGTCGTTTTTGGTCGAACAGCCACCGGCCTGAACAACAAGCCCTATGATTTGCTGCGTTTTGATGCTGTATCCATGAATAAGGGATCATGCAGGAACCTGGTTAAGAAGCCCTCGATGAAGATGTGGCTAGATTATATAGAAATGGGGATTTCCGAATCAAGTGCCTACATTACTATCATGGACAGGCATGAAATCTGAGAGAGCCGAGGCTGTCATATCTTCCGGATCAGCATATCACAACTGCTTAGGCACCGACCCTGGGGATGTGCTGACGGCTAGCAGCGTCTTTGATACTTCGCTTCGCGTGCTGTGTCAGGCATTGAGCAGCTGGACAAGTTGTTGGACCAGTTTGAAGGCTCCACACGAGATGTGGGAGCCTTGGAGCCTTTGAAGAAGGCACTTCGCAGCAAGGGTGGAACACGGAACCAGGCGCGAGCAGCCTCTTTCCCGCATTGGGAGTTGGAGTGGTTCTGTTATAGTGAATTGGGTCAAACCCTAACGACATGTTTGCCAGTGGAACCCAGGTGGGCAGTTTATTATTTAGCACCGCGATGAACATGTTCGACGACATGCTGGGAAAGCATGGTGCCGCCGGAAGGGTTTCGAGCGTACTCGAAGAACCACGTGATTCCAGCCTGGACCAAGCCAGCGTCGATTGGGTCTTGGACGAAGTGTTCGACCCTCCGCAGCAGTTCATCAGCTCACAGTCCTTCCCCCCTGAAGCCACGGCAGCTGTACGAAGCGGACCTAGACCGGACAGCGAGCTGCTCGGGTCTGTTGCCTGTGGTTCCGTTGTCTTGGCCACCGGCACCTGTGGGAATTACATCCAGTGCAACGTCGCCGAGACATTGGGGAGAGGGAGGACCGGGTTGGGTTTCGTTCTTCGGCAACTTGATGGGCTTCCCCTCTTCTCACCTGCCCCACCGACTCAACAGACATTGGACGAATATTTTGATCCGGTGAAGATTTTCGTTTGTGCACCGTCCTTTCCGAAGACATCGTCAGCTGCAGTGCGGACCGCGCCGACACCAGACAGCGAGTTAGTGACTACACTGCCGTTCGGGTCGGAAGTGCAGGCCACAGCCAGGGCCGGATCATACCTGCAAATCCGGCTGACAGATTCTGCTGCAGCAGGGGGCGGGTCACGCTTGGCGTGGGTGC